AAGTCTTGCCATCTGCAAGGTGAGATCCATAAAAGCTGATGACGTAATTCATTCCAAGTCTACAGGTTTGAGAACAAGGGGGCAGATGGTGTTACTCCCAGTCTAAGCCTAAAAGCCCAAGAACCAGGAGCTCTGACGTCTGAGGGCAGGAGAAGGTGGATGTCTCTGCTCAAGTGGACACAGTGAATTGTGCTTCCTCTGTCTTTTTGCTCTGTTCAGGCCCTTGATGGATTGGATCATGCCCACTTGCATTGGTGAGGGTGATCTTCTTTACTCAGTCTACCAATCCAAATGCTAATCTCTTCCAGAAACACCCTCACAGACATAACAAAAATTAATGGTTTACCAGCCATCTGAGCATCTCTTAGCCTAGTCAAGTTGACGCATAAAATGAACCATCACGAGAATTTAACCACAAAGAGGTTAAATAATTGACTTAAGCTATAGATAAAAAGTGGCAGAGCTTGGATTTGAGTCCAAGCAGCCTGGCTCGAGAGCCTGGTCTCTTAACCATTCCCCTTACACCACGGTTGATCAAATCCAGCCCACCACGTGTTTTTGTGAACAAAGTTTATTGGGCACTCAACCACGCCCACTTGTTTCCATATTGCCTGGGGCTGCTTTCACTGCAGGGTTGAGGAGTTGCCATAGAGACAACATGGCTGGCAAAGCCGAAAATATTTACCTTTTATGGAAAAAGTGTCCAGACAGTTCTTGAGGCCAGGTCTAAAATAACGAGCTGAGCTCCCTCTCGCAGCTGTAAGCGGCGTAGTCATCCATCCACCAGCTCTAGTTTGTCTAAGACAGACTTGGTATAGAAAAAGTACACCCTGGGAGAGTGCTCTAAGCTTTCACAGCTCTTGTCTGAGAGGAAATCCTCTCTTGTCTGAAAGGAAATTAAATGAAGGTATAAGAGCTTTCTCAGAACTACCAGTCTTGCCTGAACCAAGATGGCGGAGCAGAAGGACGTGCTCTCGCTCCCTCCTGTGAGAACACCAGAATCACGACTAGCTGCGGGACACTCATTGACAGGAAGACACTGGAACTCACCAAAAAGATACCCCACATCCAAAGACAAAGGAGAAGCCACAGTGAGACGGTAGGAGGGGCGCAATCACAGTAAAATCAAATCCCATAACTGCTCGGTGGGTGACCCACAGACTGGAGAACACTTACACCACAGAAGTCCACCCACTGCAAGGAAGGTTCTGAGCCCCACATAAGGCTTCCCAACCTGGGGGTCTGGCAACAGGAGGAGGAATTCCTAGAGAATCAGACTTTGAAGCCTAGTGGGATTTGATTGCAGGACCTTGACAGGGCTGGGGGAAACAGACTTCACTCTTGCAGGGCACACACAAACTAGTGTGCGCATCGGGACCCAGGGGAAGGAGCAGTGACCCCAGAGGGGACTGAACCAGACATACCTGCTAGTATTGGAGGGTCTCCTGCAGAGGCGGGGGAGGCTGTGGCTCACGGTGGGGACAAGGAAACTGGCAGCAGAAGTTCTGGGAAGTGCTCCTTGGCGTGAGCCCTCCCAGAGTCCTCCATTAGCCCCACCAAAGAGCCCAGCTAGGCTCCAGTGTTGGGTTGCCTCAGGCCAAACAACCAAAAGGGAGGGAACCCAGCCCCACCCATCAGTGGTCAAATGGATTAAAGTTTTACTGAGCTCTGCCCACCAGAGCAACAGTCAGCTCTACCCACCACCAGTCCTTCCCATCAGGAAACTTGCACAAGCCTCTTAGATAGCCTCATCCACCAGAGGGCAGACAGCAGAAGCAAGAAGAACTACAATCCTGCAGCCTGTGGAACAAAAACCACATCCACAGAAAGATAGACAAGATGAAAAGGCAGAGGGCTATGTACCAGATGAAGGAACAAGATAAAACCCCAGAAAAACAACTAAATGAAGTGGCGACAGGCAACCTTCCAGAAAAAGAATTCAGAATAATGACAGTGAAGATGATCCAGGACCTTGGAAAAAGAATGGAGGCAAAGATCGAGAAGATGCAAGAAATGTTTATCAAAGACTTAGAAGAATTAAAGAACAAACAAACAGAGATGAACAATACAATAACTGAAATGAAAACTACACTAGAAGAAATCAATAGCAGAATAACTGAAGCAGAAGAATGGATAAGTGACCTGGAAGACAGAATGGTGGAATTCACTGCTGTGGAACAGAATAAAGAAAAAAGAATGAAAAGAAATGAAGACAGCCTAAGAGACCTCTGAAACAACATTAAACGCAACAACATTCACATTATAGGGGTCCCAGAAAGAGAAGAGAGAGAGAAAGGACCCAAGAAATCATTTAAAGAGATTATAGTCAAAAACTTCCCTAACATGGATAAGGAAATAGCCACCCAAGTCCAGGAACCTCAGAGAGTCCCATACAGGACAAACCCAAGGAGAAACACACTGAGACACATAGTAATCAAATTGTAAAAAATCAAAGACAAAGAAAAATTATTGAAAGCAGCAAGGGAAAAATGACAAATAACATAAAAGGGAACTCCCATAAGGTTAACAGCTGATTTCTCAGCAGAAACTCTACAAGCCAGAAGGGAGTGGCATGATATACTTAAACTGATGAAAGGGAAGAACCTACAACCAAGATTACTCTACTCAAGATCTCATTCAGATTCATTACTCACTCATTACTCACAGATTCAAGATCTCATTCAGATTTGATGGAGAAATCAAAAGCTATACAGACAAGCAAAAGCTAAGAGAATTCAGTACCACCAAACCAGCTCTACAACAAATGCTAAAGGAACTTCTCTAAGTGGGAAACACAAGAGAAGAAAAGAACCTACAAAAACAAACCCAAAACAATTAAGAAAATGGTCATAGGAACATACATATCGATAATTACCTGAAACGTGAATGGATTAAATGCTCCAACCAAAAGACACAGGCTTGCTGAATGGATAAAAAAACAAGACCCATATATATGCTGTCTACAAGAGACCCACTTCAGACCTAGGGACACATACAGACTGAAAGTGAGGGGATGGAAAAAGATCCCATGCAAATGGAAATCAAAAGAAAGCTGGAGCAGCAATACTCATATCAGATAAAATAGCCTTTAAAATAAAGAATGTTACAAGAGACAAGGAAGGACACTACATAATGATCAAGGGATCAATCCAAGAAGAAGATATAACAATTATAAATATATATGCACCCAACATACGAGCACCTCAATACATAAGGCAACTGCTAACAGCTCTAAAAGAGGAAATCGACAGTAACACAATGATAGTGGGGGACTTTAACACCTCACTTACATCAATGGACAGATCTTCCAAAATGAAAATAAATAAGGAAACAGAAGCTTTAAATGACACAATAGACCAGATAGACTTAATTGATATTTATAGGACATTCCACCCCAAACCAGCAGATTACACTTTCTTCTCAAGTGCGCATGGAACATTCTCCAGGATAGATCACATCTTGGGTCACAAATCAAGCCTCAGTAAATTTAAGAAAATTGAAATCATATCAAGCGCCTTTTCTGACCACAACGCTATGAGATTAGAAATGAATTACAGGGAAAAAAAACTTTAAAAACACAAACACATGGAGGCTAAACAGTACGTTACTAAATAACCAAGAGATCACTGAAGAAATCAAAGAGGAAATCAAAAAATACCTAGAGACAAATGACAATGAAAACACAGCGATCCATGGGATGCAGCAAAAGCAGTTCTAAGAGGGAAGTTTATAGCTATAGAAGACTACCTCAAGAAACAAGAAAAATCTCAAACAATCTAACCTTACACCTAGGGAAAGAAGAACAAACAAAACCCAAAGTTAGCAGAAGGAAAGAAACCATAAAGATCAGAACAGAAATAAATGCAATAGAAACAAAGAAAACAATAGCAAACATCAATAAAACTAAAAGCTGGTTCTTTGAGAAGAGAGACAAAATTGATAAACCACTAGCCAGACTCATCAAGAAAAAGAGGGAGAGGACTCAAATCAATAAAATTAGAAATGAAAAAGGAGAAGTTACATCAGACACTGAAGAAATACAAAGCATCCTAAGAGACTACTACAGGCAACTGTATGCCAATAAAATGGACAACCTGGAAGAAATGGACAAATTCTCAGAAAGGTATAACCTTCCAAGACTGAACCAGGAAGAAATAGAAAATATGAACAGACCAATCACAAGTAATTAAATTGAAACTGTGATTAAAAATCTTCCAACAGGGCTTCCCTGGTGGCGGAGTGGTTGAGAGTCCGCCTGCCAATGCAGGGGACACGGGTTCGTGCCCCGGTCCGGGAAGATCCCACATGCCACAGAGCGGTTGGGCCTGTGAGCCATGGCCGCTGAGCCTGCACATCTGGAGTCCGTGCTCCTCAGCGGGAGAGGCCACAACAGTGAGAGGCCCGCGTACCGCAAAAAAAAAAAAAAAAAAAAAAAGGGAATCTATTGACAAAATGATTCTGAAATTCATGAGGAAGAGGAAGCTAGAAAGAATACCTAAGAAAAATTTGAAGAAGAAATAACAAAGAAAAACGTGAAAGATAAGTGATCCTTTGCCAAGAATTTTAGGTGATATTATCTCATTTCATCCTCATAGTAGTTCCATAAGGTAGAGACTGTTATTAACCCCATTTTAGAGATGACAAAGCTGAGTTCAACGGCAACAAAGGATCTCCAAGGATGACAGATTTAGATGCATCTATAACCTATACATGTACCTATATCTATGTCTATACTTGTGTCAGTGGTTTGAGAGGGCATTTAAATACAGATTTTTTTCAACCAGATTTTAGACTCTCTGCATTCCCCTTTGATGCCTCCAAAGCTGTTGCAGAAACCCCAGATCCCTGAGAAATGCTATGGGACTGATTACTGATTTCTAAGAAAACCTAACTCACTGCTAGCAGAGCTGTGATCTCTCTAACAAAAACGGTTGATTGGAAGACATCTATTCATGGGGAAATGCTGCAATTTAATAAATAACCCCCCACATGAAAATTATTTCACACACTCATGCGTGAGGCGAGCGGAGCCAGAGACAAGAGCAGAGGTCGAACTCGGGATCTGACAAGATGGCCGGGCTGCCCCGCAGGATTATCAAGAAAACCCAGCGTTTGCTGGCAGAGCCAGTTCCCAGCATTAAAGCAGAACCAGATGAGAGCAGCGCCCGTTATTTTCATGTGGTCATTGCTGGCCCTCAGGATTCCCCCTTTGAGGGAGGGACTTTTAAACTTGAACTATTCCTTCCAGAAGAATACCCAATGGCAGCCCCTAAAGTACGTTTCATGACCAAAATTTATCATCCTAATGTAGACAAGTTGGCAGAATATGTTTTAGATATTTTGAAAGGTAAGTGGTCCCCAGCACTGCAGATCCGCGCAGTCCGGCTATCGATCCAGGCTTTGTTAAGTGCTCCCAACCCAGACGGCCCATCAGCAAATGATGTAGCGGAGCAGTGGAAGACCAACGAAGCCCATGCCATAGAAACAGCTAGAGCATGGACTAGGCTATATGCCACGAATAATATTTAAATCGATCTGATCATCAAGTGTGCATCACTTCTCCTGTTCTGCCAAGACTTCTTCCTTTTCTGTTTGCATTTAATGGACACAGTCTTAGAAACATTACAGAATAAAAGCCCAGACATCTTCAGTCCTCTGGTGATTGAATGCACAGTAGCAAATCTATGTCTTGTCCTGACTCACTGTTGTAAAGCAGGAGCAGAGGCTAGAAGTGTCATCTGGATAGTTGTGAGACGTTTAAAAGCAGTGGCCCTTCTCTGCTTTTACTCATTTCCCCATCATGGTTTGAGTATAAAGTGCTGTGAATGAAGGTAGTTGTCAGGGTTAGCTGCAGGGGTGTGGGTGTTTTCCTTTATTATTATTATTTTTTGGTGGTCGGGGGAAGGTAGTTTTATTTGAATTTTATGGGCTCCTTTCCCCCTTTTTATGGTGATCTGATTGCATTGGTTAAAAGCAGCTAACCCTGGCTTCCCTGGTGGCGCAGTGGTTGAGAGTCCGCCTGCCGATGCAGGGGACGCAGGTTCGTGCCCCGGTCCGGGAAGATCCCACATGCCACGGAGCGGCTGGGCCCGTGAGCCATGGCCGCTGAGCCTGCGCGTCCGGAGCCTGTGCTCTGCAACGGGAGAGGCCACAACAGTGAGAGGCCCGCGTAACGCAAAAAAAAAAAAGGAGCTAACCCGTTCTTTAGAATATGCTCTCTAGCCAAGTCTAACTTTATTTAGACACTGTAGATGGACAAGCTTGATTGTTTGAACCAAAATGGGAACATTAAACAAACATCACAGCCCTCACTAATAACATTGTGACTTTGCTGTCAAGTGCGGAATCTTCCCTTCAGGAAAAAGCTTGTGACCATTGTGTATGGCTTGTCTGGAAACTTCTGTAAATCTTATGTTTTAGTGAAATATTTTTTGTTATTCTAAAAAAAAATATATATTTCTCACACACACACACACACACACACACACACACACACACACAGACTGTTTAATGCCAAGGGCCAAGAAGACCTGCGTAAATTCCACAAGAAGCTTTATTATCCCAAACCGGAGGCTGAGCCGTGAAGACTACATTCTAAGCCCCCTCTTGTTCCCGCTGTTTGTTACCAGGGTTTAGACAACCTCAAAGTGACGGGTCAGTTATTTGGACCAGATAGCAGGATTGATCAAAGACCTCAACAGCACCTATGCTAATGAAAATCTATTGCACACACTAGTGGCAGTTAGAAAGCCAGGGATCATGCTATGCAGGCTTCCAAGCCCCTCTCACAGGACTGGATTTGATGGATGATTCCTGGCAGCCCTCTGATAGCACATGGCTCTCACCATCTACACACTCAGTGGGTCTCCTGTCAAGTTTAAAAAGATGCCAAGGTTTACCTCTCTCACTTCCTCTCCCAAACTCCCCACCACACCCATGTAAAAGGGAACACCACCCATTGCTTGTGCATTTTTACACTGTCGGTGGTCTCTGGTGTCAGGAAGCCCCACACGACAGAAAGGTCTGGAATCCCATGACGGGCGCAGGAAATGTCAGTTCACAGGCCATGGGCTTCATACTCAGGTCTGCTTCTCCCTCATCCCAGCACCTCCAGTTCTACCGTCTAAATATCTCTCAGATGATGGGAATGTAAATTGGGGCAGCCACTACGGAGAACAGTATGGAGTTTCCTTTAAAAACTAAAAATAGGACTTCCCTGGTGGCGCAGTGGCTAAGACTCTGCACTCCCAATTCAGAGGGCCCAGGTTAGATCCCTGGTCAGGGAACTAGATCCCATATGCATGCTGCAACTACGAGTTTGCACGCAACAACTAAGGAGCCCACATGCTGCAGTTAAGGAGCTGGCGAGCCACAACTAAGGAGCCCACTTGCCACAACTAAACCCGGGTAAAAAAAAAAAAATTAAAAAAAAAAAAAAAAAAAAAGCCAGGATAATGGGAAATGTGCTCCTTGGTTCTCAGGGTTACAGCTTATGTGTAAAAGGAACTGCTGAAGTTCTCCTTCAGATTCCAAGTATTTTGAGCCTGCCCCGGCTCAGGGTAGGGGCAGGGGTACCTGACTCCCAGCTGAGGCTCAGCCCCAGACCTGGGGTCTAGAGTGGGAAGAGGTCCCATCGCATAGTCTAGGGCTTAGGGCTTAGCATGGACGCCCCAGAAGGCTGGCTCATCCCTGTTGCTGGTTACCAAGCCTCATTGTCAGTTTAGGACTAGACGGACCTACCAATAATCTGGAAATATTTTCTGCGGTTCATCACCTAACTTCCTGTGAGCCAGGGAACCTATCAACCTCTTATTTCCTGGCAAAATGTATCCCTGTGAAAATTACTACTTGGGTACAGTAGAACCCAGCATGACAATCCTTGTTACTGATAAATTAGAATTAACTCAAGGTTAAACTGTGCTCTTTCAAGCATACCTCCACACAATAAAGCCTATTCTAACCTATCAGTTCAGTACAGACTTCCCACTGCATGAAATAGAAATAATATTAAAAAAAATTAAAACTCGGTGGCAATAAGTCCAACTATAGTCTAGGGAAAGTAATTTACAGGGAATTCTTTCTGTCTCAGGGCCCTCCCGACTCCAGCCCCAAGAACAGCTGAATAATGGGTACACTCCACTGAGATTATCACAAATATTAGATCTTGTCATTGACCTTCAAAGATGAGTCTCCATGCTCTGGGGACAACCAAACAATGGCCTGTTAATAAATATGGACTTAGCTCTACTCCCTTAAGCCTAAAAATGATGGTGAGTAATATACCGCAATCAAGTCCAGATCTAGTCCAAGGTAACCATGGAGGTTAACCTATCTGGAAAGCTTATTATGGGCTTGGCTCTTGATGTGGATTCTCCCATCTCATGACGAGCCTGGTGTAGGTGACGTTCCCCACTGTCCTGTTCGGTAGAGTAGGCAAGGGAGGTTATTAATGTGTCTGAGGCCAGTCACACATCGGAGAAGAAATGGGATGGGAATCCAGGAAGTTTGATCCAAACCCAAGCTCTTAGGGGTTGCCCTGTGCTGCTACCCTGGTGAACTGTAAAGACCTAACGCTTCTTGTGACTCATCAGGACAGAACGGAGAAAGAGAATCCTTTGCTTATTTTTTACATATTTTTCTAAGCACTACATATGCTAGCGATAGCGGGTCCTCGAGTGAAGCCAAGCAAAAGGGCAATGACAATCTGGTGCTGTGGGGACAAAGCAGGGAGGTGAGGGAAGGCCTTCTGGGGCAGCGACCTGGGAGGTCTGTAAGTAGGGGAGTGAGAAATGTAAGTAGTGTGTCTGTGGAAGGCCATTCTGGCTGCAGTCAGGAAAAAGGCCTTCGAAGCAAGGTGCACTTAGGCTTTCAGGCCAGATCTGCTCCCAGCTCAACTGCACAGCCCATGCAGCCTGAAGACCTGCAGTGACACTGCTCTCAGGAAACAGGACGGGATGCAACCTCCCACAAGTCCATCTTGGCCACGTTGTGGGTGGCTTGACAACAGCTCTTCCCCCTTTCACTGTTCCTCCCCTCTCCCTCAAATTAGCTATCGTATGGGACCCGCCCGGCGGTCCTGTGGTTGAGACTCCGCGCTTACTCTGCAGGGGGCACAGGTTCGATCCCTGGGCAGGGAACCGCATTTGACGCGGCCAAAAAAAAAAAAATTCTCAACTGGATTAAGAAATCTATCTTTTTTAATAGCTATCAAATCAGCTCCTTTTGGTGTGACCATCCACCAGTATCTATTTTTTGCCCGTCAGTGACTCTCCGGAACCCACCTGGAAGCTTCCTTGCCTCTGGTTTAAATGTACTCCAACATAACTTGGCCAGCACGAAGGTCGATCCTCTGAACCCTTAGCCCGATCTCTCCTGTCACGAACACCAAGGGACCCAACCTCTCAAGAAACAATTTTCCTCTAAATAACCAAGCTCATTCATAAATTTACAAAAGCTCTTTCTCAAGCTAGCTGCTGGGGCGTTGGTAATTACAGGAAAGCTTGAGGTCCCAGATTCTACCCAAGTCAATTCAATAGGGCCAATACAAGAAACCCAAGACGCCTTAAAACTTACCTGCTGTTCTAAAATACCTCCCAAACTTAAATGAAGCGTAATGACATTTATGTAACTACCAGCTTACAAGACAAAAACTACCTCAACTCATACAAATGTTCTAAAATAACTTCATCTATTTCTAAACCGTCTAATAACACAGGACTGAAGTTGTGACATAAATCAAATGATACAAGCCAGTGTCCTGTAGTGGAAAGCCGTGAAGCATTTTTAAATAGATGATGTGTGATATTGCTGTTTGTACAATGAACTTTGGTGTCACTGTTCTAATTATCACAGTGAATTCTAATTATGCAGACCATTAAAGTTATTGAGACTGACATCAGATAGCATCTTCAATTTCCCACTTGGCAGAGACTTGTCAAGCATAGAGAAAAAAAGGATTAATTAACTTTGGAAAGAACATTTCCATTTCTTGTAGAGCTCCGTGATTCCTTAAACTTTTAAGCTCTCTGGTGGCTGATATGATCTATGATTCATAAGCATCTGAGTCAAATTATTCGCCTAGCAGCTCTCCCCTAGTGCTAATATTCCAGGGAGGTTTCCTACATTGATGTTTCCCTACAAATAAGTTTCTTATCATTTCATTTTTTAGATGAACCCTAAGGGGACATAGGCAGGTTTAAGGAAAAGCCAAAAGGAGCAAAATTATGGAAAGGTACCCTATTACACACCAGATGTGAAGGCAAGGGACAATTTTGCAGACTCATGTGTGTGCCCCATGGCCTGGTACTCATCCAGGGACAGTAAAAAGTGGTTTGTTAACGGTATTCTTTCCAAAGGACAAGGTCACAGCCTCGGTCGGCCACCACGTGGCAGCAGCACAGGCAGCTCTGAGCACAGGGCTTCCTTCCAGTGCCCTCACATTCATTTGTAAAGCAAAGTGCTTCCAACAAGTGAGCTCCAACCTCCTCTAAGGGTCTGTGTAAGCTCTTAGCTTAGAGCAGACCCAAAAGGTATTGATGGGATGCAGTATACAATGCACGTAATATAAAACTTTTTTTTTGGCTCCGGACGCGCAGGCTCAGCGGCCATGGCTCACGGGCCCAGCCGCTCCGCGGCATGTGGGATCTTCCCGGACTGGGGCACGAACCTGTGTCCCCTGCAACGGCAGGCGGACTCTCAACCACTGCGCCACCAGGAAAGCCCCGTAATATAAAACTTTTTGTGGCAGTAATCTGCTTTTCTTTTCCCTGAAGCCCTGAGCTCTGTAATTTACGAGGGGCAGTCCTATCACCTGACAGGGCCGTCCCCACGGATGTAGGGCAGTCCCCATGGATGTGGGACAGTCCCCACGGATGTGGGGATGGGCTACAACTTGCCTTTCTTTTCTCCTGGGAATCTCACAACCTCTGGGGGAAGGACGGAGCCAGGAGCTGTGAGCTACAAGAGCACCCGGCAGGTCAATCCTTACCCCACCAAGTCTGTCCGTTTTCAGAGCTTTTCCAAGTGGCACTCATGCAAACTCAATAATCACAGAACAAACCTCCAGAACAGCTCCGGGGAAATAAGCCATCCCGCTTTCCTTGTCATTTTTGTTCTTTTCATTAAAAAATGCAGCTTCGGGCTTCCCTGGTGGCGCAGTGGTTAAGAATCTGCCTGCATTGGCAGGGGAAACGGGTTCGATCCCTGGTCCGGGAAAATCCCACATGCCGTGAAGCAACTAAGCCCGTGCGCCACAACTACTGAGCCTGCACTCCAGAGCCCGTGCGCCACAACTACTGAGCCTGCGTTCTAGAGCCCACGAGCCACAACTACTGAGCCCGCGCGCCTAGAGCCTGTGCTCCGCAACAAGACAAGCCACCACAATGAGAAGCCCGCGCAGCACAACCAAGACTAGCCCCCGCTCGCCGCAACTAGAGAAAGCAACGAAGACCCAACACAGCCAAACATAAATAAATAAATAATTTTTTTAAAAATGCAGCTTCTTCTTACCTCTGCCACTGTAAAGATGTGCTTCTAAATAAATGCTCTGTTTAAGCAAGCCCTTGGAGATGAATGAAGGCTTCTGGGGACCCAAAGGCACACGGTGACAGGATGGGCTTTCTTCCCACGAGTCGCTTGCTGTAAAGCTTACCTCTAGCTCCACCTCCAGCCTAGGTGGAGAAGCAAAGTCTTGGTAAAAGACACCATGTACTGGAAGATCTTGGCTATGATTACAATTATGTCCTTTTTTATAAAGGCCCCATTTTATTTTTTTTTAATTTTAGGTGTTTTAGGTATCTATTCTTTTTTTAAATTTATTTATTTTATTTATTTATTATTTTTGGCTGCATTGGGTCTTCATTGCTGCGTGCTGCCTTTTCTCTGGTTGCGGCAAGCAGGGCTACTCTTTGTTGCGGTGTTCAGGCTTCTCATTGCGGTGGCTTCTCTTTTGCGGAGCACAGGCTCTAGGCGCGTGGGCTTCAGTAGTTGTGGCTCACGGGCTCCGGAGCGCAGGCTCAGTAGTTGTGGCACACGGGCTTAGTTGCTCCGTGGCATGTGGGATCCTCCCAGACCAGGGCTCGAACCCATGTCCCCTGAATTGGCAGGCGGATTCTTAACCACTGCGCCACCAGGGAAGCCCAAAGGCCCCATTTTTAAGGAATAAAAGACTCATGAGATCCCATTCTTTGGACGGCTGCTAATGCTGCTCCCTGTCCAAGTGCAGCGCAGGTGGCCAAGCACAGGTCTTCAGAGAAGGGCGAGCGGGGTGCCTCCCTCCAGCCTCCCCATCTCACTTCTCGCCAGTCCGCCCAAGCCTCCAACTGGATCATCAACACCTCTCAGCGTTCACAACACTTACTTCCCTTCTAAAAATTAGAGTACAGCTTGATGGCAATTTCTGTGGCAAATTTAACAGGAGAGTATGAATGAGAATCACTCTTAATTCCTAAAATCAAAAGGTCAGAGGTGCTAAAAGTCCTTTTCGACTGAATGTCTGTGTCCCCTCAAAATTCCTATGCTGACATATAACCTCCAAAGGGATGGTTTTAGGAGGTGAGGCCTTCGGGAGGTGATTAGGTCATGAGGGTGGAGCCCTCATAAATGAGATTAGTGCCCTTATAAAAGGGACTCCAAAGAGCTTCTGTGAGAACACAGTGGGAACACAGCTGTCTGTGAAGCAGGAACAGGCCCTCACCATACACCTGATGTGCTACAGTCTTGATCTTGGACTTCCACCTTCCAGAACTGTGAGAATCAGTATCTGTTGTTTATAAGTCATTCAGTCTGCGGTATTTTGTTATAGCATCCCAAACGGACGAAGACAAATACTTATTGCTATTCAGATTAACAACTCACACGTGGTATCCCTGGGTTGGCAGTTTATTTTAAAAAAAACAACACCCCGGTTATCTTATTTTCTTCCTTGTCCATCGTTTTTCTTAACAGAACAAGTTACAAAAAATTAGGATGGGGGGGTATATGATCTTTGCAGACTGACATATTTGCAGAGGACTCATGAATAATAATGATGATTCAAAATCTCCTAGGTTTACTCCTGAATCAAGCAAAGAGCAAAGGACAACATAAGAAGGAATCGTGTGTACAGCAATCTCGTCGTACAACATTGATTATGACAGTGCAGTGGTTACAATTACGTTCACGATAGGATATTCCTTGCTCAAACACCAGACATGCTAAAATCACCAGGCTGTTTACAAACTGGAGGAATCAGTGCAAACAGTCATCTGAAGAGCAAAAACCAGAATCGGGAAGGCTTTTCTGGCAGTGAGATTCTGACACCAGTGGCTTCCTCGCGTGGGCCACCCTCACTTTGAGTCTTGATCTTTCTTTTCATCTAAGAGGGCGGAGCGGATCCCCAGCTTTTTCAGTTCTTCCACCAGGTCCCCATTCTGGTGCATCTGCAGAAGAATGTCACAGCCCCCCACGAACTCGCCGTTGAGGTACACTTGTGGGATGGTGGGCCAGTTGGAATAGTCTTTAATGCCTACGGGGAAAGAACATTTAACCGTCATTTCAGTGGTCAAATACTTGTACGGCAAAATACGTTTCCCTGCTCCTAGGGACACCCCGTAACCCTTCCTGGCTCCCCATCCCTGGGGGACCGTGTATTTGCTACAAAGAGCATAAGCTTTTGAGTTGAATGGACCGCTGACTCTTCCAATTATAAACAGTGAGGCCTCCATCCTCTGTTTCCACCCTTATCTCACAAAGTTTTTATGAGAATCAGGTTAAGTAAGGCTCTCATAAACTACCTGACACACAATCGACCCTGGATTAATGGCAGAGAACTTGACTGGTTAATGCAAGTGACACAAGATACAGAAGGCTATATTCCCCATGCTTCTGCGGGCCACGTTTTCAGCAAAACAAACAAACGAAAGAAATGCCACTCCATTCCCAAATGGACTACTGAACATGGATCCATCATGGTAACTCACTGGCACACTGGGCAGCCCCCACCTAATGTTTTCCGTGCCTGTCTCAGCTGGTGAATTTAAAGACACTGAGTCATTGGCTTTGATCTTTAATAATTCTTTTACCCAAAGAAAAATCCCTCTCCTGTGGCTAGACTGTGGCCCTCGTCCTATTCAGCCCCTCAGATGAGCTCTCCATGGGACAGCTGATCTGACTCAGCACAGAACTCGCAGGGACTGAGTGAAATGAAGGAAAGGCCCAAAGCTCATGAAGGTCCACGTCCTGGGCCAGGCACAGGGCCACAGGGTGAGACCCACTCCCTGCCCTAAGAGACAATGGCTTTGAGGACACACCGAGATGAAGTATGTTCAGGGACAGTGCAGCCATGGGATGATTCTGTGCAGTGCTGCGCCACGAGGATGATGGCTATGAAGGAAATGTGGTTTCAATCTTAAGGCAGAAAAGATCAGTCACTCTTTTCTAAATTCCTCCTTACCTTTTACTTCCTTTTCTACTCAGAGGTTGAGATGAAGTATACTTTTTTTTCCTTTTCTACTCAGAGGTTGAGATGAAGTATACTTTTTTAAATGTACAAATAAACGAAACAGAAAAGTCAACAAAGTCTTCAGGCAAAATACAGTATTACACAAATTTTAGAAATCGGTCAAGTGGTGGTTTTTGTGTAAACAAACTAAAAATACAAAACCTTTTTCTTGATGCCCTACCATTTATTATCAGATGAGTTTTACCAAATAAGATTACCAATATGAGTTATATTACAAATAACCTTCCCAAGATACCATGTGTTTTTCTCTTTTAAAAGTCACTGCTTTCTAAAAAACAGCAACTTCGCTCTAACCGACAGCGCTAGAGGGCCCCCAGTAGAGAGCTTTATCTTTCTTCTGCAGACAGACTTCATGGAGAGAGAAATGGTTACAACGTTATAGGCCCTGAAAAGCTCACTTCTAAGCCACTCTGGGTTTCTGTTTAAAAAAAAAATCAGCTAGAGGTTTGGAGGTTACCAATAAAGGGCAAATTCCATTAACCATCAGAATGCCTTTATACTTGAATACCCTGATGAATTCAAGTTTTTTTTTTTTTTTTTTGAATTCAAGTCTTTCATCACTCTGATGTTTGGTGCTACATAAACAGTTACTTAGCATGTAAGCTGTATGTTTTGGATTTTTTTTTTTAACTCTACCCTCAAACACAAAGAGTCTATCAGAACTTAACTTTACGTTTCCAATAACACATCTTTTTATACTTTATGATGGGGGGAGATTAAGAAACGTTCAGAATATGAACTTTTTACTTCTAAACTTTCTTTAGTATCTGTTACATTTATGTACATGAACCATTTATCTGCACAATATTTGTATCTGGGTTTTTTTTTCCAATTAATAATACACTGCATTAAGCTTTTCATGGCAATGAGTATCTACTGATTCTTTTGGCGAGTGCCTACAATTTCTGAAACACACCAAAGGTGAAAACAAATTTGCCATCTGAGGGCCACCCAAAACCACACGTTTAATCCTAAAAAGTACAATTTTTTAAAATAAAATCTTTGTTGAGTATAAGAATGACTTGCTTTCATCAATCGTTTTCATGGTAGCACACTCAACCAAAGCGTTAGGCAACAACTCAACATACATTACATTGTTGCAGACCATACATCCCAACTATAAGGGAAGGAAGGAAATCCATCCTAACCACCGAAACTACCCAAATAAGTGGGCTTTCCACCATCCTGAACAACCAACATACAGTCACATGCAAGGGAGGCTAACTCCTTCCAAACCCCTTGGCCTGTGACTGTCCTAATAACTTCAAGAACTCAGAAGAACCCACCTCAGAACACATGGCATCGTGACAGCATCCAAGGTGCCTACCAGCTGATAGTTTATCGAAATTAAACTTAAATACTTCTTTAATTTTTAGATTATCAGGTGTTACAGGCGGCTGTTGTCAAAGCAAAGCTCTGGCATCTCTCCTAAAAATGATGCCATTTTCCATGTTTAAAAAGTCCAATTACAAGTTTAAATATTTAAGGAAATACCCAAATTGCTTCCTACAGAGTGAAGTGAGAAACTTCCAGTAAGACTACATTCATGAATTGAAAACGAAAACAAATTCTGTCAATTCACAATTAATTGTTTAAACATGGCTAATTTTTCTCACCCTTTAAATTTTCAGTAACTGTAATATACAGTGATAATTCTTGTATCATATGGAATAACTCAGAATCAGAGAGCAACTCCTGAAAATTAGAAAAGCATACCCAAGAATGGATTTTAATGATAACCATATTTTATAGATGACAAACTGATTCAGTTTGGGACAGAAAGTGGTGACTGCCAAGTTACATAACAGGTAACACTAGGACTGGGAGCTAGGAGGCTGTCTTACAAAATCTGTTCTACATACACCTACTGCCCCACCAAAAAAATGTCATGTTCTGAAGTATCAAGCGAGAGGGGAGAAAATGTTCTGGAAAATTCCCTTCCAGAACTTTCAAAAGGTACTTTTCAAAATTCATGACATTTCAGAATATTGGACCCCATTCCTGGTTTGGACAATAATCGTAAGAGCATCACGATTATAGTTTTCTTTTTTTCCGGTAGATTTTCAGTACACGAGCTTCAGAGTCTGACGCAGGTTGATGCTAACTCTGCCACTTAACGAGGCTCTGTTCCTCGGGCAAGTCATGTCACCTCCTCCTGGAATCACGTATTTCTCCATCTTCCTTAAGAGAATGATGTTAGCACTGCCTGTCAAAAAGTAAACCACGGTGCCGAGAGGGTCAAGGCGCTGGTTTAGGGGTCAGCAGACTGTGGCTGGCTGGCTTGTAAATACAGTCTCAGATAAATCTGCTCATCTCTCAACCTGTTTCCTTTTCTGTAAAATGGGAATAACTCTATGCCTCACATATTTGTTATGAAGATTAAATAAGATATAATTGGTGAAATGAATTAAGCTCCCACAGCGCCAGGCGCACTGTGGCTACTCTCTCCACATCAGTGTCCTCTACCCCACCCTCCACAGAAATGCTCTCCTGACAATGTATGCAAGTAAACAGAGGGAAAGAATGCAGGGAAAGAATGCAGGAAAGAATGCATACCAGTGAAGCATGCAATGCAATAATAAAAATACCATTTACTGAGCTAAGGGTTCCTGAGTTTCATACTCTAAGTTTTTCACATATCTAATCTCATTTCATCTTTACAAAATTCCTACAAGTTATGTATAATCATCCCTATTTTACAGATGAAGAAATGAAGGCTCAGAGAGGTTAAATAACTTAACCAGCGTCACAGTGCTGACATACGGTAGAGACAGGATTTGAGTCCAGGTGTCTAGGACTCCAAAGGCCAGGTTCTTGACCACCAGAGGTGGTCTCTGGCCGGAGGCTGGCATCTGTCACTCCTGCCCCACTGTGAGCCCCACCTGCATGACACATGGATCTGCAATCCATGGGACTGTTCCACATCTTTAACATTTATAGACACAAACGGCATTAAGCCACAATTACCCTTTTGTAACTTGCTTTCTGACTAAGCATCGCCTTTTTTGAGAATACATCTAGATTTTTTTTTTTTTTTAATTTTTAAAATTTTTGGCTGCGTTGGGTCTTTGTTGCTGTGCGGCTTTCTCTAGTTGTGGAGAACGGGGGCTACTCTTCGTTGCGGTGCGCGGGCTTCTCATTGCAGTGGCTTCTCTTGTTGCCAAGCACGGGCTCTAGGCGCACGGGCTTCAGCAGTTGCGGTGCACAGGCTCAGTAGTTGCGGCACGCGGGCTTCAGTAGCTGTGACTCGCGGGATCTAGAGCACAGGGTCAGCAGTTGTGGTGCATGGGCCTAGTTGCTCCGCAGCATGTGGGATCTTCCCAGACCAGGGATTGAACCTGTGTCCCCTGCATTGGCAGGTGGATTCTTAACCACTGCGCCACCAGGGAAGTCCCTAGATCTAATTCATTTTAACCACAGTTTAGTTTTCCATCATGACTAAGCTACAGTTGGTTTCTTCAGTCTGCTGCTAACAGACCAAGATCTGTTCTTGCCCACTTTTCATTACCACAAGGAACACTGCAGTGCTCACCCTTATGTGCATCTCCTAGCTCACATGCAGGGGACAGTCTCTCTAGACAAAGGGGTGGCAAACTACAGCCTTCGGGCCAAAGCCGGTCCACATCCTTTTGTAAATAAAGTGTTATTGGAACTTCGCCCCGCTCATTCGTCTATGTGTTGTCCCTGACTGCTGCTACACTGTAACAGCAGAGCTGAATAGGTTAACAGAGACCACCAGGCCCCCAAAGCCTAAACTATGTACTCTCTGGCCCTTTACAAGGAAGCTTGTCGATCCCTGATGTAGCCTAAATAACCGGGAGTGAAACAGCTGGGTGTTCAGCTCTGTCCACCTTCAACTTGACTGGGTACTGAGAGTCACTCCTTCCAAGTGTGGGCCCCACTTTATACCCCCATCTGCAGCATACAACCTGCCCACCAGACACACATGCACACTTGTTATCTGATTTTTAATGCTTACCAACGTCATAGTTCTACTACTGCCTGAAATTCCTTGATACTGGAAAGGCTGGGCATATTTTCAAATACTTAAGAACCATTCAACGATAGGATGATGGGTATTCATTCAACAGATGCTGTTCCCGATTCGAGGAATACAGTGGTGATCTGAGTAGGCAGAAATTCGAGTGTCTATAATGTTTTTAAGAGCAGGAAAGAGAGTTTATGATAAAATGATAAATAAAAGAAGCATTTATTTATTCATTATAACACGCATTGAAAGCTCGCTTTGCATAAGCGTCACACACAGTGCTCAGGGAGTCGCAGAAGACACATTCCCTGCTCTCAGGAGGGCAAAATGCTATATATAGACATGGGTGATCTCAACTCTGTTAAAAAAGAAAAAAAAAAAACTGTTAGAAACTAGATCCAAATGTTAATAATAATGGTTTATACGGAATTACAGGGGATTTTCATTTTATTTAGATTTTCAGTGTTTTCCAAATTTCTCCCACGAGCACATATTACTTTTGCAACTGAAAGTAAAGATTAGTCTTTGTTAAGACCAGGAGCAGGATATGGTGACATCCATCCACCGTGACCCTATGTGGCCGTCTTGTGGGTGCTCCAGATTCTTAAAAAGGAACAAGCCTTGAGGAAGGCCAAAACGCAAAGCTGCCTCAGTCACCTTGGTTCGTTGGGTCTCAGGCCTCAGGCTGACACCTCTGTGCATCATACTCCCTGGACCCAGTGCCCAGAACTAGGAGACAGTGTCTGAGGGTCTTCCTCCGACTTGGGTCCTTTCTAAAACTCAGCCTTCTCTGGCACAAGAAAACAGGAAAGGCCAATTTTGCAGAAGCCCCTATCCTGTTACTAGAAGTGACCTTGGGTCTGGGAAAAGTTCACAGACATATCTTTAGTTGGCAAAAGCAAGCATCAGACAGCCTGTCAGTCTCTCTTGGTAAACCTGAAGGTGTGGAGAGCAAAAAGATGAAGAATCTTCATGTTTTAAAGCCTCACCCTGGCTAAACTACTCCCCACTGTAATAACGTGCTTACACCGCCCTGCCTGAGTCTAGAGGTTAATACTTACCCTAAGGTTTACTTTTCTAGGCAACGAAAGACGTGTTATGTATGCAACACATTCACTAACTAAAAGTAATGGTCTGATGAAGCTCAATGGTCAAGAAATTTAAGGGTTAAATTCCTGTTGCTATTGTTTGAACACTTAAGAACAGAAGACTGGAAGTCAGATACATAAGGGCTCTCGGCAAACATTCTTATTCCTGCTATTACTTTCAGTTTACTGGCCATATTCCAGTATAGCCCATCTCCGGTTATATTTCAGAAAAATGTTTTAATTCAAGTATAGTTGATGTACAATGTTTCAGGTGTACAGCAAAGTGATTCAGTTATACCATCTCTGGTTATATTAAACAGGAGAACAGAAATTCATAAACCAAAGACTCTCAAAACTTTAAGCTAAGCAAGATATCAACAACACAACCTTCTACTAAGGACCACAGTGGCAATTTGCAAGCGGCCTGAGGCAAGGTCCCAGCAGAAAGATTACAGAGTAGTTTCTCCTATCTTATCTTTTAGGCAGAGACGCCACTGCTGCTGCATGAAGACTGCAGATCACCCTGTATGTGAAAAAAGCCAGCAACTGGTAGCATTCCAGGACTCCAGGAAGGGAGAAGGATCATGGGCACAGCACATGGAAATGTTACATACGCCTCCTGGTAACTCAAAGCTGCCTTCACTCCTTGTTTCCATCCACCCAAACTGAGAGTTCTATAAGGATGAGATTCCATGGGAAAAAATACTTTTAAAACCATAAAGTGCTAATAATAAAATGGTTACCATTTAATGGATGCCTTCTGAGTGCGAGATAAGAGGACAAGGCACTTTCTAAAAGTTTTATTTTCCCTTTTTTCCTCACAAAACCTTTGCCAAGTGTGGTTTCATTATCCTCATATTACCGAAAAGGAAAATGCAGTCATGTACCTTGCCTCGGGTTGCACAGCTGATTGGCCAAAGGAGTCTAACCCAAAGCCTTTCCGTGACGCCAGCCTGTCCCATCTCTGTTGGAATGACTATGATTGACAACTTCAAATGTAGAAGAGCAAAATACAGAATTCTGAATGTAGACTACCATAGAACTTGAGGCCCTAAAACACTTTTTAGAACACTGTCACTAAACAACATCAGGAAACTCGGGGAGAACTCAGTCACTGAAAGTCTAACTGGAATGCCACCCTTCAGGGGGTACAGGCACGGTCCCCCCATGCCTCCAACAACCCCACCCACCCCAGCCAAGGAGCAGACCCAGGTGTTCTGGCCCCTCTCTCCTCCCGCACTAAGATAAAACAGAAGAATGCAGGTAAGGTTCTCAGCAAGGTGCTCATCAGAAAAGATGCTAGTTAACTGTCAGGGCCCTCCACCCTCCCCTCTGGGCCACTGAAAAGTCACAGACAGTACTGTGTCTGCCCCAGACCCTGACCGGTTCCTGGAGCTCCAAGCTTGAGTGAGCTAGGGCCCAGGAGTCATTCTTCGTCCCTCTCCCCACAAGCCTCTCCAATCCCTAGCCACCACAAATCTCCCCCATCCTTGAGTATCTAAAAATAAATTTCATGTCTTTTTCTCCCACACCAGATCCCAACTAAGACCTGTCCAAAAGCTGTATCAACCGCTCCTGTAGCAGCAACAGAGAACGGTCCCTGTCACCCCGAGCCTTGAGGCACGACAGGCCAGCCTCTGAGCCCCTAGCCTCAGACAAGGGCAACCTCGACCCTCCCCCCGCCATCAACAGCACCTCTCCTTATCCACGAGACAGGGCAGCCCCTCAAAGTGTCCCCGAAGTGCCTACCTCTAATGGCTCTTCTTGTATCCCTCTCTGCCCACTTCCCCAGCCCTGCAGAGCAGGGAGTCAGGCTGCTGACCACGCTCCTTGGATTCAGCTGAAGAGCACTGGCCCCGAAATGCCTTTTTCAGCTCAGAGTGAGGACTGGGGAACCGCTAGGACTTACTCCATTGCCCATGTTAGCCCAGAGGCCCAGATCCTCGAGATCCAGTTCAAGTCGATCAGGCCCCCACCCTAGACCCGTGTGGAAGCTCGTGTCTGAAATCCCCTCAAGCCCCCGGACGGACCTTGCCCGACAGACCCTCGACCCCGCAGAGTGGTCTCGGCCGGTCGCCCCCCAGCTGGCTCTGACCTTGCCTGAGCTGGGGGTCGTCCAGCACGTTGTAGGCCGCGTAGTCGCGGACGCCGTGCAGCCGCAGGATCTGCACCACGGCGTTGCTGAAGCCGCACTGGGGCTGCTCCGGAGTCCCCTTTAGGAAGACCACCACCCTGTCCTTCTTCACCAGCGCGTCCAGGTGCTCCGACGAGCCGCTGCCGCCCGAGCTCGCCGCCCGCACGCCCGGGCCCCGCAGGCCGCCGCCCGCGCCGCGCCCCCAGCGGAGCAGAGCCGCAGCCGCCCGGCCCAGGGACCCGCTCATTCCCGCACGCTGGCCTGAGCTCTCGACGGCCAAGGACCTGGGCTAGCCAGCCGAAGCCTTCCCGGGGCCCGGCCCGCGGAGGCCCGGCCCGCCCCCCGGAGGCCCTCATTGGACCGGCGCCGAACGGCTCTCCGTGATTGGAGAACCCTGGCCCTCAATTGCTGGATCCCACCAATCATGTTACTCGTCCCGCCCCGACAGGCTGGAGGCGGTCCTTACGCCTGAGCCGCATTCTATCGCCTTACCATTGGCCGCCGGAAACCGTTTTGTCAGTTGATTGGAGAGAGTGGGTGTCCATCAGGGTCACGCTCCGAGGCAAGGGGAGGCGAAACGAGAGGGAAGACAACTTCTCTCTCAAGGGTAGACGGGCCTGCTGGGATGCTCCGGGAGGACTTGGGACAGGCGCTGGGCGGGGTTTCGTCGTTCCGCGGAACGCCGGGAAGGGGTCACTTCCAGATGAAGGTTCCGGTTCCGGTGCGGTTGGAGGTTGCGTTGCCACGGCAGCGCGGTTGGCCGGCCGCTGGTTTTTGCGTTCCGGGTGGTGGTGGGGCTGGAGCAGGCTTGGATCCGCCGTTCCCGGCTTAGGTGAGCTTCCCGGAGCTTCAGTATGGCCGCGGCTGTTCGCGGCGAGAGCAGGGACTGCGCCGGGCTCTGGCGGCCAGGCCTGCCCGGGGCTACGGCGTCGGGGCCCGGGCCGTGTGTCGCAGCCCTCCTGTGGTCCCGCTGCCCCCGTGAGAGCAGAGGCCCAGACCCCTTCCCGTGGTTCCCGCCTCTGCAGCGCGATTATTTCACTAAAACAACTTTGATTTTTAAAGTTTGTAAAGAGCTCTCGTCTGTGTGATCGGGGCTTCGCTGACTTTCCAGCCGACCTAAGCCCCTGGGCTTGGGCCCAGGAGAGGTTGAATGGGGAACTAAGAAAGGAATTGGTTCATTCGACAGACGTTTTCTGAGCAGCTGCTGCGTGCAAGGCACGGTGCCGGCGCGGGACCTGTGCCCAGAGCTTGAGAAATGAGAAGCAGGTACAAATCAATGTGAGGGTAGAGAGGAGGGAAGGGAAGCCTCCCTAGGCCCACTGCTTTCTCTGTTCTCCATTGTGCTTAGTACATCTTGACATATATTTGTTAACTTGTTTATTGACTTCCCTCCCAGACTGTCAACTTCATTCATTACTGTATTCTCAGTACGTAGAACAGTGCTTGGAACCTAGCAGGTGCTCACATTGGTGGAAAGAATGATCCCAGAAGAGCGGGGCTTAGTGAAATCTCCACGTGGTCTGTAGTCTTGGAGCGGTGCTGGGTTGGTGGTACCCTAGAGCACACCAGACTTGCAGAGAAAGCATTCTCCAGAGGAAGCTGAGGCATGGCTGCTCAAGGGACAGCAGTACCATGTGCAATTTTCCTCTGATAGTTTCCGATTACTGTTGCCACGGTGATAATGGCTGTGCCATGTCATTATCTATCAACCGACAGTAAGAGAAGCTTTTGCAGTCAGATGTTGTTTAACAGATGGAGTGGTTTCTGTTGGACACTAAGTACTGCTACAGATTACTTTCTTTTTAAACCCTAAGTATTTAAAAAGTTGTGGCTGGAGGTGACCTCGTTCTGCTTTGGAGGTGCTCAAGTTTAAAAATCAGAAAATTAGTACATGTGCTGACAGCAAGTGAATCTTCCAAATAATTGTTCACCGGGAGACTTGAGGCCAGTAAGCTGAAAATAAACTCAAGATGTTACTCAGAAGTGCTCCCCAGTGATGTATTTGTTTTATCCCCGTGGTTGTTATTGATGTTTGGTAGTTTTCTAATGTGGGACCCAAAATTGATCAGCTTCTTAAAGAGCCCTTTTTTTTCCCCTCTAGAGTCATTGATTCCAGGTAAATCAGAGGAACAAACATCATACAGAAATATACAGGACAGTAACATACAGGAAGCGATGTGATGTCGAAGCTTAACTGTTGTTTCAAAAGTCCAGCGTCTGGTGCACCTAACAGTAGGGGCTGTATTATTTGCAAAGTCACCTAACTTTTACTCATGCTTATGTTCTGGTAAGTTTGTTTTAGTTTTTTTTTTAAAATAAATATTGGCAGTTCATTCCAGAAAACCTGAATTGTTTATTGCCTACTCTGAACTGTCTCATTCCGCTCTTGCGTTAACTGGAATAGGGAGAAGAATTTGCAAACTTACGATGTGAGGATCCAGAGACGTAGTGCTAGTCATGGGGAGTATCATGTCACTTATCTAGTGTGTGATACTGGCTTTGCCAGTACAGTTGGCAGACATTTTATTAAATTGAGAAAACACAGTTGTCATTAAAGGTTAAGAGTAGTCCTTCAGCAGGAAGAATACAAAGCCTGTGTTCTCCAAATTTATAATAGAGTTGCTGTGTACAGTCGAGTATGATAAGGACATCCATGAAATGCAAGGAAAGCAAGTCGGGGCTCTTTCAGGGAGCTAAGTGGGATGGCTTTGATAGTATTGACCAAGGCCAGGAAAACAGATCACGTATCTGGACCAAAGAAATTGAAACAATGCACCTAAATTTAAGTTTCTAATAAAGCAACCTAAAATGCAAAATGTTGTATGTGTTGAACATAACTGCATTCTGTCTTTGACTTAAAACCACTCATCAAGTATTAGCACCAAACATCAGTGACTTAAAGAATCGAAGAAAATAGTGTTCAAAATACTTCTTCCAAAGCACCAACTTCTTATATATGATGTGGCATTTGAGTTATGAGCTTTCTCATTAGAAATTCTGTAGTGAGAAAGTATGAAAAAAATACACTTCTTAAACAGTTGTGAGAAATCTGCATTTATGCTCAAGTGCATTTGGGTGTTTGTTTGTTTGTTTTTTGCGGTACGCGGGCCTCTCACTGTTGCGGCCTCTCCCGTTGCGGAGCACAGGCTCCGGATGTGCAGGCTCAGCGGCCATGGCTCACGGGCCCAGCCGCTCCGCGGCATGTGGGATCTTCCCGGACCGGGGCACGAACCCGTGTCCCCTGCATCGGCAGGCGGACTCAACCACTGCGCCACCAGGGAAGCCCTATTTGGGTGTTTTGAACATGGAAGTCACCATCTTTATCAGTTTGTGATCTCCCATGTGGACATTAATGGGGAGGTAGGGGTGGGAAGTACAGGAAACTTAGGAGAATCCTAGGATTTGGGGTCACAAAGTGTAATTAGACCCCAAACTAAATAATCATACCATGTAAACATGCTGACTCAGGCATCCTAAAAATGTTTTTCTTCCCTGTGCTTACTTATAGGTAAGCCTTTACTATATTTAGTAAAATTTCTCCTTTCTTCCCACTCCACCAAAAGCAAATTCACTGTTGAACCCATAATTAAAACCTTATAAATTTGAGATCATTTCTTCCTATATATCAGCTCTAAATGAAGAGTCAGGATTATTGAGCCTAAGATGAAACTTTGTTTGAACACTTAGCATGTCAGTGTTTTCGTACCCTAACTTCAGTCCTAAAGGTCACGCTGCATTCTGACAGAGTGTGGCGATTGTGCATAGGGCACATGACCCAGAAATGTCTAGGTCTGAGCTGGCCAGAGCATTCTGCGAGTGTCATTTTAAGAGAAAAGTGGCTGCAGGTGTTGCACAACGGGTTGAGCCACCAAACATTCCTGAGCTAAAATGGCATTTGAGACCCAGATTTCCATAGACCCAAGTTGAAACTTGAGACCGTTCTCCGTGGTGCCCCTTAGCTATTCAGTAATTTTAGAGCATCACTGCAACCCTGGAATTAACTTGATTGCCTAAAAAGTAATTGTTATGTGTGAGAAACTGAGGCAGTGCCCATCTCCCTGAGAAAATGTTTGCTGACCCATAATGCAAAGATAGAAATGCCTTTGCAGGGACTTCCTGGGGGCGCAGTGGTTAAGACTCCACATTCCCAATGCTGGGGACCCAGGTTCCATCCCTGGCCAGGGAAATAGATCCCATGTGCATGCCGCAACTAAGAGTTCGCATGCCACAACTAAGGAGCCCACCTGCCACAACTAAGACCCAGAGTAACCAAATAAATAAATATTAAAAAAAAAGAAAAGAAAAGAAATGCCTTTGGGATCTTCACTACCTCTATCTGACAAGACAGCTGGGTTTATAAATACTTCTCTGGCCATGGGAGTGGCCTCAGTTTTGCTAATCGCAGGTTCTCACATCATGTGGGCTCAGCCTAGAGGCAGGAAGGGAGACCTCATTTGGGCCCCCTTCCACTCTATCACAAAGGTCCTGCTCTCCTCCTCTGGGTAAAATGAAGAGAAATGATGTCCTGTAAATTTAGTTCAGTCTAGAACACACTGTGGGAGATACAGGTGAAAATGGATGTCACAGCAGAGCCTGATTCTGTTCTGGGATTTGGACTGTAGAGGTGTGAGGCCTGGCTTCAGTCCTAAGCATCACTTACGAGCTCTTTTGGATTTTCCTTGGAATTTTCTGCCCCTTACATCTTCCCCTTCCTGGATTTGTGAAAAATGTCTTTGTGACATCTGCAAAAGGTAATGCCTATTTCAAGATGTCTTTATCTAAGGATTGCAGAGTTTTAATGAATCACTTTGTACTCTATTCCTCTGCTCCTAGACATTTACCCCCAAAATGTTGGCATGCATGTGTAGTACAACAAACTGGTTTTGTGTACATGAATTCATTTGAACTTGCATTAGCCCTAGGCTAATAGTTCTCTGGCATTTTGGTCCCTAAGTTAAGTTCTCTTTTCACTAAAAGATCCCACATGCTGCGGAGCAACTAAGCCTGTGCACCACAACTACTGAGCCTGCACTCTAGAGCCCGCAAGCCACAACTACTGAAGCCCGCGCGCCTAGAGCCCGTGCTCCGCAACAAGAGAAGCCACCGCGATGAGAAGCCCGTGCACAGCAACAAAAACCCAACTCAGCCAAAAATAAAAATAAATAAATAAATTTTTTTAAAAAAAGAATGAACCAGAAGTAAAAAAAGAAAGATTGTTAATAACATCTTTTTGACAGACTTGAGCACTTTGGGTTCCTCTTTTTACCTTCACAAGCACTTCTTAAATCTTACTGTGGAATCGTAGCAAAGCCAGCAAGTCCCACAGAAAATTAAATATTCCTGAATTATCTCCAGGATATGTATGTATTGGATCCAGATGTGATTTTTATGCTTTGTGAAACTAAACTGACAACAATTTCAATGCAAAACTCCAATGAAACAAATAACCCGTAGCTTTTCACTTCTGAAAGTTTCATTCTCTTTTGTCCCCATGCTGCTTTTTCTCAGTGAGGCCTGAAGTCTCTGGCTATATATAGGCTTTTAAACTCAGACATCTGCTGGACTTTGTTCTATTGAGAACTTTATTTCGAGGGAAAGAGCCCAAATCATATCTCCTGTCAGGTAATATTAAGAATTAAGTGGTAATCATAAAACATGTTAAGACTTAAGTAAAGGTGATAAAAGAATTGTTGACTTTTCCTCAACTGTCTGTTTAGTGAAAGATTTTAATGTTTTGTGTTATGTTTCTTTTTTTTTTGCAAGCAGATAGATTCCATGATTCAAACTGTTATTACATTTCCAGCGACTTCTGAGAAGGTGCCCAGACCACAGAATTCAGAAAGCAAGGAGCCAGTACTGTTGTGTGTCACACTTGTTAGGAAGATTTATCTGTTGGCAGGAGTCTGTGTCTTCCTCTGATAATCACTGAGCTTGCGGCCAGACGAACACTGAGAAAATTTTATTTTTTCCTTTGAATGATGGCTAAGATGTATTGCCAAGGCCATAAATATTCGTTATGTCAGAATTCGTTGAGTCAGAATTTCATTTCACACTTCAGCCTTTGAGCCTTAATAATTTCAGTCTTCAAAATTAAATCTTGCTGTCATGGGAATCCACTGCTCTAGCCTACTTCAACAAAGTAGCTAGTGAAGGACCCCAGTTTCACGGATTGGGGGAGTGGGTTGGAAATGGGCTGACATTAACTGTTCATTTTCCTTTGCAGGAAGAACACTGGAGGATTAAAAAAATATATTTTTTCCTACTCTTAGGGCCAGAAAAATCCCACTTGCTAATTCTAAACTTTACACTTTTTGAAAGTGTACTCTACTGAGATAGAATTAATTGATACCAAATTTCTGTGAGCCAGAGTTTTAATAAAAGACTGTATTATAAACCAGTTACACTGTAAAAATAAATAAATAATAAAAGAAGGGAGGAGCATTTTGCATAGGCTGCACTTGCAAAATTGAGTCACCAAGAAAATTTTGTATCAAAAGCTTTGAGAAGGTGACATACTTGCAGGCTTTCTCCCCTCTCCAGACATCCAGTGACCTGCACTTAGTGTAACTAAGCACATACGTCAGTCCACTTGGTGAGCTATTCCCATTGGTTCATCTCTTCATACTGCTCAGCTGCAGCTGTGTGATCGTTCATGCATACTGCCGGCTGGTGGGGAACAGGGCCAATAATACCCTCCTACTTGAAGGGATTTTTTTTTTTTAGTTTTATTTTTTTGCGGTACGCGGGCCTCTCCCTGTTGCGGCCTCTCCCGTTGCGGAGCACAGGCTCCGGGCGCGCAGGCTCAGTGGCCATGGCTCACGGGCCCAGCCGCTCCGCGGCATGTGGGATCTTCCCGGACCGGGGCACGAACCCGCGTCCCCAGCATCGGCAGGCGGTCTCAACCACTGCGCCACCAGGGAAGCCCTTGAAGGGATTTTTTAATCCCTTCTTGAAAAATAACCCATCATCTTTCAAAATCATTCTGTCTTTTGAGAAACTTGGAGCATTTCATAATGAGTCTCTGCCTTACCCCACGAGACAGGTAGGGGGCACTAGTCTATCTTAGGAAGCAGGGGCAGCAAGAGCCAACAAGTGCTGTCGGTGTCAGTGCACAGTGTCTGGGAATTAATCAGCTGGCCGGTTTCTAGGAATCGGCTCTCAGCTCCCATCCAAGTCCTGTTCTTATTTTAGGGAACGGTTTACTCTCTCAGTTTTCTAGTATTACAGCCACAGCAGATTAGAGGCAGTGAATTGAAAAGGCTAACAGCCGGAAGAAGCAAAGACTGACAGGTTAACAGGAGGTTTTTTAAATTGAGAAGCAGATATTTTGGGATTTTCCTCTTTTTTTTTTTTCTTTTTTGAAAAGTCACATTCTGGAAGCGTTTGGTGTGAGCAGGGGAAACATCCCTCACATGTCACAGTTCCTTGAGCATTAGAGCCCTGTGTAGTAATTCTAAATCATCCAGAAAAGGAAATGGTGTTTCATGTGCTTTGGTTAAGAAGTCAAGGAGACGTAGTATATATTAGATTGCCAACAAAAATTATACAGACTCATGGCCTAATTTCAGAGGAATACTTTCTTCCCTCATTATGCCAGATAAACAGTTTTATTTCTACTTTTTTAAAAAATATATTTTTATGTCTTTATTTATTTGGCTGTGCCGGGTCTTAGTTGCAGCACTCAGGATCTTCGCTGAGGCATGCAGGATCTTTCGTTGCGGCACGTGGGATCTCGTTCCCTGACCAGGGATCAAACCCGGGCCCCCTGCATTGGGCGCATGGAGTCTTAGCCACTGGACCACCAGGGAAGTCCCTATTCTACTTCTGTTATGTGTCTCATATTAGTCCATGATGAGCACTTAGAAATACTTAATCCATTTAATTAGGTGGTGAGGTATTGAATAATATGGGCGTAAAGTTGGGTTTCTCTAAACTATGAATCAGTTAGGGCTTGAGAGCTCAGCTACCATCAGGCCTGGAGACAGCTGTGCATAAAGCAGCTCTGCAAACCCTGGACACACAGTCATCGAAGAATAGAACCACTGTGCGTCCTACCACTCAGCCCCATTTTACTGCTTTTGGGGACGGAAACCCTTTAGGGGTTTTCTATGTATCACAGTTTAATTTTATGCCCTACCGCCCACTAGACCATCAGCTTCTAGTCCAACAGAACTCATTTTTTCACCCCTGGTCCTTAGTACTACGCCTGGCACTTAGTATGTGCTCAATGCATAACTCCTGAATGGAGAACACGTGACATGGTAAGCAGTACAGGACAGTATCTCAGAAACCCCAAATTGCATGAAACTCACGATACTGACCGCAGATGCCATAGGAGGGAGAGAAACATTTGGCCATAGAGCTTGTGCTAAGCAGGACATGGAGTGGAGTAAGACACTCCCACTGCCCGGGACCTCACCATCTTATGATAAGGACAGATGCAAGAATGTCACTAAGTACTGGAGCGGGCTGAGGGTGTGGGCCCCAACACAGCGAGTCAGGGCCTCAGGGATCAGAGCCAGTCGGTAGAGGGGCTGGTGTTTGAATTGAGTGTTGACGAAGAGGTAAAGAGCTGCTATTTAAAAGGGAAGGACAAAAATTTAAAAGAAAGAGAAGGACATTCCAGGGAGAGGAAACAGCCAGGGCAAAGGCACGAAGGCCCAGGCATGCTCTGGGGGACACACCAGGCATTAGGATTTTGTCCTTGGGTTGAGAGAAGATCACAGAGAGAGTGTAAGCGGCAGAGTTCTTGAGAGATGAGCCTGGTAGGAATGTTGATGAATTGCAGGTGGCCCAGACTGACCGAGGGAGGCCAGTCCGGAGACCCCTGTAAGATGGAACGATTCCCAGGCTCTGGCTTGTGTGCTATGGGTGAAGGGCAGCAGTGCAAAAGCCACGTTCCACACTTTGATGGTAGGATTGACAGCATCTGGTGGCTGGTGCATGTGGGGACGAGGCTGGGAAGAGGCGGGCAGGACTCGGGCTTACTCCCAGGTTCTGTCTTAGCCGCTAGAGCTCCTGCCTGCTGAGGAATATGGGAAATACCGGGGGAGGAGGGAGGGTTGAAGGGGTGAGTCACGGGTTACTTCTGAACATTCTGAGTTTCCAGGAATCTGAGGGGCATCTCTCTAAATCATTAGGTTATGTCTGAAATACTGGGGGAGATGATTCAGATGATTGCCCGGGCAGGCCTGGACCTGATGGTAAAAGAGATTCGGGCAGGGAGAGCAAGAAAAGAAAAACCAGGGCTGAAAGCTGGGGGATGTGTGCAGTTAGGGAAGGACAGGCCCGAAGACGAGAAAGGAGGCAGGGGGAGAAATGAGCAAGTGCTTGCAGGAGAGAAGCCCCGTCAGGGCTGTCAGAAGCCGAGAGAGGCCAGGTAAGGACCCAAGTGTCCCCTGGGTTTGGCAGTGGAGGTAAGCGAAGCATGGCTGTGGGCTGGGCAATGAGGGCGTTCCCCAGCCTTGGGCAGCTCCCTGAACCTCTCGAGTCTCTGGAGCATGAAGGAGCTGGGCCAGTGGATATAGTGTCTTCAGGCTGCTATCTATGGGCGTGCACCTGTGTTTCAGGCCATCTTAGAGTGTAAACTGAGCGGACAGGGTCCAGTCCTTTGCCCAGATTTGCCAGTGACACAAACAAACATTTCAGCTGGGATGACGAAACAGCCCTGATTGCTGAAGCAGGTGAATTAATCCCGCTGGCGCAGCATCAGCAAGGACCTTTGAAATACCCAAGGACACAGGATGTGCGCGCTGCTCTCTCTCCTGCCTGTTCATGGGGGCTGCTTCTGTCTGCTGAGTACTGATTTGAAGAGCCAGGAGGTGCATTTGGTGGCACTTGCCGTTTTTCTCTGCACACCAACTCGACAGCATCAAAGAAGGAAATGAGGATTAAAGTTCTGTAAGATTCCAGGCCAGGTGCCGGGGTCTCGCAGTGCAAGGACTTGTGGCAGTCAGTTCGAAAAGCGTTTGTGCCGCCTGTGTCTGGGGCCAGTTTGCAGCAAGATTCTAAGGTTTGCTGGAAAGAAGCTCCTGCAGTGAAATGGCCTTCTCTGCTGGGGAAACACCAAGAATTGTCATCGAGAGCAACAGGTTTCATACAGGTGTGCGGATCTACTTGACACAAGCCTCGCCAGTCCAGTAGAGGGGCCAGCCATGCCCCAAGGGCGGGTTTCCCCCTAGCAGAGCCCAGCCGATTGCATGGTGATGGGAGTGGCACAAATGCCCTGCACAGTTCTCTTGCCCTAACTTGGGTGCAGAGCCCCCGCTGCCCATCCTGGGCACTCTGCCTATCACACTGAGCTTCTAATATTATCACATGTTCAGAATAGCCAAGCCTGCCGAAAGCAAGGAGAGAACATTTCAGCAGATTTCAAAAACATGTCTCCAGGGAGCAAAAACAAGAAAAGATTTCTCTTCCTTAATGGAGACGTCTTCCTTACCCACAGCCTCTTCCTGAGTTGGTCTGCCATGAACTTTGGTTGGCAAGCCTAGTCATTGGAGGGTTTCATTTCCCATGATAGCACACATTTGCACAGAACTTCAAGTTCATAGTACATTCTTATGGTCCTTATTCTCTGCGATCCTCACGACAGCTCCTACGGGGAACCCAGGGCACGAACTGGCCCCATTTTGTAGATGTGGAGGGGTGATGACCCGCCCTGCACTCAGCCAGCTGGGGAATGCCTAGCCCCGGAGGTACCACGTCAGGAGATTTCCATCCAATGAGCTTTTCACTCTGCGACACCTCCCCCCTCCCCATGCCCCTCTCTCCCCCCCCCCCCCCCTCCACCCCTGGCTTCGCAACACTGACATTATCAAGGCTGCATTCAGATTTCAAAACAAAATCAAACAAACAAATAAGCCGGGTTCCTAGTGTGCCCCGTGCCATTGTTTAAGGCAAAACAGTGAAGCTGGAAAGCCGAGCAGCTGTCAAGGCTGTGACAGAAGAGTAATCACACATCTCACGTGTTCAGCACCAAGGAAACCGCTGAGCGTGGCTGTGACTTCCCTGGTACAGAGCAGT